TAAAGGGTTGGGGGTCGGAGGCTGGCGCAACACGCTAAGTCTCCGGCACCTGCGATCCGGAGGGTCGCTGGTTCAAGCCTGAGTAACGTCCGTCTATTATGATACGTTATCCGGCAGATCGTTATATGTTGACGCCTTAAGGGTTGGGGGTCGGAGGCTGGCGCAACACGCTAAGTCTCCGGCACCTGCGATCCGGAGGGTCGCTGGTTCAAGCCTGAGTAACGTCCGTCTATTATGATACGTTATCCGGCAGATCGTTATATGTTGACGCCTTAAGGGTTGGGGGTCGGAGGCTGGCGCAACACGCTAAGTCTCCGGCACCTGCGATCCGGAGGGTCGCTGGTTCAAGCCTGAGTAACGTCCGTCTATTATGATACGTTATCCGGCAGATCGTTATATGTTGACGCCTTAAGGGTTGGGGGTCGGAGGCTGGCGCAACACGCTAAGTCTCCGGCACCTGCGATCCGGAGGGTCGCTGGTTCAAGCCTGAGTAACGTCCATCTATTATGCTACGTTATCCGGCAGATCATTATGTTGACCCCTTGAGGGTTGGTGGTCATGTGCCCTTGAGCAAGGCCTTTAACTCCCAGCTCTGGGGGTGTTGGATGACCACGTGCTCTGACTTCAAAGGAGTATGGAGAATAAGATGGGAGTTGGTGTAGCTGTACTAATGCGAGTAAAAACCAGGGCCAGGGTTCAAACCAGCAACCTCCTGCTCACAAGCATGGAGACTTAGCCCTCTGAGCCACACACCAGACACATGAGTCAAGAGTGGATCCTGGGGCAGAATTGATCGGCAGTCAGTCTGGAAAATAAGAGTCGGCAGCAGATTTAAGCAAACAAACACATGTAATCTGCACACGTACAGGTACAGGTGCATTAGAACACTTCCCTTCACTGACCCCATCTCACTCACAATACAGGGTGAGCTCATGCACAGTGAACTCTGCTAAGGGTGGGACTTGACCCAATAACCTTCAGATTACCAGCACAGAGGCTTACCCCACCAAGCCACTCGCCGCCACCATGCCAACTGCATCTGAGTTTAACTTCTGACTCTGGTGCAGATACGAACCAGATTTGGTAACATTCAATGTCAGTCTGGCCCAGATATGGCCCGTATCTGTTTCAAATCCAGAAAGCAGATTCGGACCATTATTGGTCTATCGTGTAAAACGACACCAGGCCAGATCCAGCTTACATATCTGCAGCTTTTTCTGAACAACATTTGGCCCAGATCAGACCCGTCTTGCTATGTGGGATCACGCACTTAATACGAAGGGTTAGGCGTGCTATTATTTTACATGCTTTCACTTTCAGAAAAGTGCATGATTCTGGCCTAGAAACCCAATTATAAGGGCAATCATCATCATCAAAAAAACATATTACTCACATTTTTTTTACTTACAGTCGTTGGTAATGCATCTTAGACTGTTTGGTGTTATTTTTGTGAGACTACATTTATAATGTAATGATGCCCTCTAGTGGTGAGTTAAAGACTAGCAAAAAAAACAGTGGTCAGTTCATGTTATTTTGCATTATAGTATTAAGCAGTCAAAATATTATCAGGGCCAAATGAAAAAAATGAAAAAACAAATGCGAATAAAGACAAAAGACTCCTATTCACAATACTGAGAGTATATATGGTTCCAATGGTCAGACTAGGGACTCTGGCAATCTCCCGTCAAAAAGGTGTGTGAATTTGAACAGGGTGTGGTCTTTGGGTCATCAGTAGGGGGCAGTGTTTGGGGTGGGCGGTTGTAAAGGGGTGAGGAACCCGAAAAACCGAATGAATCAGCAAACCCCATTAATCTCCGTTAGCTATGTGCTAACCGCTGGCACTGACAAGCTGAGCCCCGGTGCCTCTACAGAGCAGCCATTCTCAGTACAGAGACCCTTATCAGGCAGATTGTGGCGGTGCCTTTGTTTGCTTTAAGAGAATATTATCAGAGTATTAATTTGCCGAGTCGGGTAACTGATTAGTCCTGTGCTGTGGGGTGAGGTGACGTAGGTGAAACCACCCTCAGCCCTTGTTAGGGACCTGAATAGATGTTTACTCTTCTTCGTTTACTTTATTTACTGTTCGAAATAGCTGTTTTCAGGATCGCCAAGCCCTCCAGAGGGTGATCCGTGCAGCAGAACGCTGCTGCAGGTCGGCCCTTCCATCTCTTCAGGACATTTACATCAAGAGATATAGGAGCAGGACCTTCAGGCTCATAAAGGACACATCTCACCCCAACAACAGCCTGTTTCAGCTTCTGAAATCAGGAAAGAGACTCGCGAACATCATGACCAGGACTGAGAGACTTAGCAGGAGTTTGTACCCCCAGGCCATAAGGTCTCTGAACCTGGACATGCCATTGCACCTCACACCCTGATTGTGGTCTTGTACCCCTCACCATATCCATACTGTTAAACTGGCCACTTTTTATGTCTGTGTCACCGTTCATTTTGAACATACTTCTCTGCTTGCATTTTAGCTTTTTGCACTGTAACTTTAGCATAATTGGATTAGACTACAAAAGAGCGCGTTCAGGATGCATTTCACTGCGTATTGTACTTTGTATAACTATATATGCGACAATGAAGGAATCTTGAATCTACTCCCTCTCAGCTAGATCAGAGAGGCGTAAATAGGCATTTTTCTTAGGTAGCATGACCACCCCCCACCCGAGCAGAATGGCACAGGACTGGACACCACAGCACTCACAGCTATTTGCTCAAGTCCTCAGTGGGACGTTGGCCACCCTCCTGCAGGTACCAGGCGGACCCGTCTCCAAGCGACGGTCATGGAAAGCGCCGGCAGCGCACACGTGACTGAACCGCCTCCTCCCGCCGCCCCTCTGAGTCACAGACGTCAACCCGTCCTGCCAAAAAAACCCAAGCTCAATTCTGGTGTGGGAATAGAGTCCTGGTTTCCCTGACGCACAGGAGCTCGCCCGTATCAGAGACGCACATCTCAGGGACAATGGCCTCCACCATGATCCAGACCTCCGGCTTCATCCTGGGCCTGCTCGGGGTGGTCGCCACCATCGCCGCCACCGGCATGAACAACTGGAGCAGCCAGGACCGCGAGGGCGACGTGGTCACCTCCGTCTACTCCTACAAGGGCTTGTGGCAGACCTGCGTAGTGGAAACCTCTGGCTTCACAGAGTGTCGGCCGTTCTACACCATCCTCGGGCTGCCAGGTGGGTGCCGGCTCATGTGTGCCGACCTGCCAAATGTGGGGTCACTGCCATTAGGAGTTGTAGGTTTTCCTTGGATGATTGAGTGGATGAATCGTAAAATCCTCACAATAAATAACCCCTGTAATATTTGCAGGGGGAGGTGCGTTAAAGTACGTTTCACAATCTAGGGAGTCGCCTCGCAAATCTGACTGGATACCAGTTATTTCAAAATGTACTTTTATTCCTAATAGAATTTGCACCGTGCTGTGAAATTGCACAGCGATATGACTGAATAATGTAACATTTCGGGCAGGAATCTTTTTACCGGGCCGAGGTCGCAGGTCCCCCTGTTTCCGTGATCTCCTGTAAATTCTTTAATTCCCCCCGAAGGGGCAATCAGAAAGCATCTGGGAATCAGTTAGAGGATGTATTCGCATCAGAAAAGGATCCGTGTGGTCTGACATTAGATTGTGTTTAAAGGACGCCAGGGTTATCAAATGGGTAATAAAAGTAAGATCACAGAATTTTTATGTTGTAGTAACTGTAGGGATTTTTGACTGAAGATTTGTTTACTGGTGTTTCCAGTATTTGAATTTGTATCAACTTGCACTGAATATTATCACATATAAAACAACGTTACTTTTACCCGAAATATTTGTAATGTTACAAAATGAAACATTTCAAACAGCACAAAGTAAAAGCAGTTATTTTATTTATTTACATATTTGAATAAAAATATCCAAATTCTAGTTTGTGATGTCCAGAAAGAAAAGAAAAACTAGACAACAACCAATTAAAAATTATGTGAAATATAAAATATTAACATTAAAACATTGCAATAGTGCATAAAACATAAACACACACACATATGTAGATGTATTTAGCAATTATATACTTAGTTACACATAGAAACACACATATAAATATCAATGAAGATAAAGTACTTTTACTTTATCTCCATTTTAATTGGAAAATATAAAATATGTAACATATTTGTAGTATATATAATATAGTCTGTGATGAGGCATTTAGGTAGTTTCCCGCTTAAACCAGTTTCCAAGCCGCAGTTTTTTTCATCAGTACGGCTAAATCTTCAGCAGCTTCTCTTATCGTTGGCCTTTGTCTCCATTTCCCGTCCCCTGAATCCGCATTTAATCTGCAAGCACAAACTTCTCCATTCGAAGTTCCGTGTCATTCCCATGCTGGCTTCCTCTCGTGTCAGCTTCCCGTCTGCTGTCTAAAAGGACGATGTCACTGCATCGCAGATGTACGCATGATGGTTCTATAATTTATATCTGATATCTGTTAAATGCTAGTTTCAGGTCAGGTCACAAAGGCCATTGGTCATGAAGTGTAACTTCTGTACATCAGATCATGAAACTGATCATGATCATTTATTACATCATCAAGCTATTTTAATCCGCATGAATGTGGCTCTGGCTGGAAACCACATGATACAAGGTTGGGCGACGAACAAGATCTTTACAAACCACGTCCATTCAAACGGGAACAGGGTGGGGACACAAAAGGACGGATCGCCAACGTTAAGGGATCCCCAAAAGAAAGCTGCCCCCTTTTTGAAAGGGGATGCAACGGGAACATAGACTCAGGCAGGAGGGTCGAGAGGGTTAAGAACCACAAAGCAGGACAGACAGGACGAAACCAAATGTCCTCAGCAGGCCAATGTGCTCACAAGCCATCAGCGTGTGTTTTGGACAGTAACTCGGCACGTTCAAAGCAGTTCATGGAAGGTTCAGTTTGACAAACATAGGGATACGGAGAAAGCGGGTATTTCTCTGGGACTCTGGGGCGGGTTTCTTCATGAATTTCCCGGCACACATCACAACTGGACGCTGCCCTTTCAAACTCAACTCAAAGCTGCCTTATCGAAGTATCGGCAAAACCAACCATGTTTGCCTTTCAGACTCATATCCATTTTCTCTTTGTCACTGGCCCCTCCTGACTGGTTACACACCAGCTTTCCCAGCCCCTGACGACAAAGAGGTGAAGCTAACATGAATATTAGCTCTGCTTAGCTCAGGCACCTGACTCACACCAAGCTGTTGTTGACAAGACCAGTTAGGCTACGGGGCTGTTGAGTGGAATGATGTTATTTTAATAGCCAGAAATTGGCATTTGATAATGTTTTATATATAGATATAAATCAGTGCTTCCCAGCCCTGTCATTGGGGGCCCACAGACAGTCCATGTTTTTGTTCCCCCCAGGTAGGGAAACACTGGATTGGGAAACACAAAATGGACAAAAGTAATGGGACACCTGGCCATTACACCCATAGGAGCTTTTATGACGTCCCATTCTAAATTCATATGCATCAATATGGAGTTGGTCCCCCCTTTGCAGCTATAACAGCTGCCACTCTTCTGGGAATCGCCTTCCAGAAGATTTTGGAGTGTGTCTGTGGAAATTTTTGCCCATTCGTCCAGAAGAGCATTTGTGAGGTCAAGCACTGATGTTGGACGTGAAGGCCGGGCTCACGTTCTCAGTTCTTGTTCATTCCAAAGGTGTTTGATAGTATTGAGGTCTGGACTCTGTGTGGGCCAGTCATAGTTCTTCCACACCAAACTCACCCAACCATGCCTTTATGGATCTTACTTCGTACACTGGGGTACAGTCATGCTGGAACAGAAAAGGACATTCCCCAAACTGTTGTCCAACTCCAAAGTTGGAAGCATAGAATTGTCCAGAATGTCTTGGTAAGCTGAAGCACTGTGTTCCCTTCACTGGAACTAAGGAGCCTAGCCCAACCCCTGAAAAACAACCCCATACCATTATCCCTCTTCCGCCAAACTTTACAGTTGGCACAATGCAGTCAGACAGGTGATGTTCAGCTGGCATCTGCCAAACCCAGACTCGTCCATCAGACTGCCAGACAGAGAAGTGTGATGTCACTCCACAGAGCACGTTTCCACTGCCAGTGGCAGTGTGCCTTACACCACTGTATCCGAGGCTTGGTATTGCGTTTGGTGATGTGAGGCTTGCATGCAGCTGCTCAGCCATGGAAGCCCATTCCACAAAGCTCCAGATGCACAGTTTTTTGTGCTGGGGTTAATGCCAGAGTAAGTTTTGAGTTAACAGACCATTGGCGACTTTGCGCACTATTGCCCCTCAGCACTCAGCTACCCCGCTCTGTTACTTTACGTGCCACTTTGCGGCTGAATTTCTGTTGTTACTGAATGCTTCCACTTTGCTATAATACCACTTGCAGTTGGCCATGGAATGAAACACCAGAATTCAGTAATTAAGAGGTGTGTCCCAATACTTGTGTCCATATAGTGTATATATTATGCGTATTTAATTCTGAAGCAGCCCCTCCTCTGCATATACAAAAAAATTATTTTCCATTTATGCAACAAAAGCCTACCTTCTGCACGTCAGTTTTCTGAATTTAGCTGTAGTTAATAAGAAATCATGTTGCAGCACAAAGTACTAACAGGAAACGAAACGGGTAACAATAACTGATTCTCGAAACCGAGGCAACACTCAGGAGCAAACACAAGATAAGCTGTGTTAGCTCATGAGTTAGCGATAAGTAATGTAGCGTCGGCCTCCATTTCGAGACTGCATCACCACGGCGCGGCTGGGGAGGTCACAGTCTCTGTCAGACCACGAAGCAAAATGGCCGCCACCATGATCCAGTTAATTGGGTTCATGTTTTCGACTCTGGGGCTATTTTTGATCTGTGCTGCCTGCGCTCTGGACATGTGGCAAGTACAGGACCGTTCCTTCACGCTGGTGACTAGCGTATACACCTTCTCTGGACTGTGGCACTCGTGTGTGGCGTCTGCCTATGGGTCCACTCAGTGCCGGCCATTCTACACCATCCTCGGACTTCCAGGTAAGGGGGAACTTCGAACCCACACTTACCGGTACTTGGTAAATGGGGTAAAATATGCTAATTCGGGCCTAATTAAGCAGGGCTGATGAAGCAGACGACCTGAACCTACTTACAATTCATGACTGGATTATATATATGATATTAATCATTTTCCATGTTGTTACTTGGTGTTGATTAATAACAAATATGATTATGATTTAAGCTATAATATTTTTATTCAATATTTGAGTCTTAATTGAGCAGCCTATTTGTCTAACTGGTGAATGTCTATATTGTAAAACAAATCTACAATAATGTTGAAGCTTAATGCAATACGTCAGTATGTGTTTTCCTGTATTTTATGTACATGACCGGCCAGAATGGTCTGTGAATTTTTTCTGGTTAGTGAATGTGCACATGATGGAAGGGCTCTCTGCTTTTTCGAGTGATCATTTATAAGCAAAATAATTATTTTTGTTGAAATTTAACCGAAGCAAAGCATATGGTATATTTCCTATTTTAATATTTATGCTGTTCTTTAATAAAAAATAAACATACATTAATACTAAGTGGAATGTATTACTATTAATAATGCTTTTTATTATTTATTTACATGCATTATTACTATATATGGGTGTGTGTGTGTGTGTGTATATATATATATATATATATATATATATATATATATATATGTGAGATGTATTTCATGTTTTGCATTGTTATCTCATGGTACCTTGAGCGCTCGTTGGAAAGCAAACAATGGCTTTGTTTTGTCCTGCTGGCGGCAGGTACCTTCCAGGCGGTGAGGGCCCTGATGATCGTGGGCATTGTCCTGGGTGCCATTGGCATCCTCATCTCTATCTGCTCCCTGAAGTGCATCCGCATGGGCGCCATGGAGGACGGCGTCAAGGCCAACATGACCCTCACGGCGGGCATCATGTTCATCGTCGCCGGTGCGCCCACCTCTCATGTCATAACGTAGCCATTCAATGATGACATCAATTGTACTGCACTGTAAATTGTTCATGCGGTATATTTATATTTTCTGCAGTGTACTTGTACTTGTAAAAATGTTCTCTTAATATTCAAGATATATATCGTATGTTAGAGAATACGTTTTGTGATATAGGCCTAGATGTGTTTTGTTTATACACTCCTCATATCTACACCTTTTGTTATATCCAGTCTCACTCAGTTAACATTTATACTATTTACCAGGCATATTGAAGCAAAAAAAAAGATGACTAGATGTTTCATGCATGTTTCCTAGAAGTACACTACAAAACTGTGCGAGGCAATTTCCTAGCTTGCCTTTGATTCATATCTGTGCAGTGTGTGTGTGCTGGACTGGTCATGGAAGGAAAGTGTTACTGCAAACACAGGCAGAGCCACACAGCTCTCCATACAGCGCGTCAGGTCAAAGTATGATGTGCAGCCTAACTGCTGGCGTCCAGCATCGCGATTTCAGAGAGAGATTTCAGAAGGGTGCACAGTACATTGAAGGGCGTAATTTTGTACCAATCAGGCTTAAACAAGCCATGTGAGAGTATTCAGCATATAAAACAATGAGCGTTCTTTTGATGTGTTCTAACATTATCCATTAGCAAATAAATTAATTTGATTCTGTATGAAGGCGACGATTTCTTTTAATAAGCCAAAGCTTTTCCCCTCAGGGATCTGTGGCATCAGCGGGGCCTCGGTCTACGCCAACCAGATAGTCAGCAGCTTCATGATGACCACATATAACCCCCAGATGGGCGGAATGGGAGGAATGGGCGGAATGGGAGGAATGGGCGGCATGGGAGGAAACCTCGCCCCCAGGTGAGCGCCTTATGCACCCCGCCCTGCACACACAAGCTTGAGACCGGAAACACGCCCGTTTGACCCGGTCCTGGTTTCCTTTAGGTACACCTTTGGGCCCGCCCTTTTCGTAGCCTGGGTGGGAGGGGCTGTGCTGCTGCTCGGCGGCGTTTTGAAGTGCCTGGCATTTAAAGGGTTAATGCCGGAAAAGTCACGGTACGTTTGCGAATGTCTTTCCATTTCAAAAGTTATGTGAATAAGCTGTAATACCGCAGAATATTTCAGACGTGTTATTCTCAGATCTGGTATTTGATGATAGCTGCTCTGAATCAAATTATAAGCGATCTTTGAACTGCTTGAGATTTGAGATGATCCGTATTCTCCTGTAGCTATAATGCTGTAGCGTACAAGGCCCCGCCCCAGAACCAGCACATGTATGAGGACTCCAGGGCTGAAGATGACAGGCGGGAAAAGCATTTCGTTTAAGCACTGAAGTTTCAATTGGAAGATACATTTACAGTCAGAATGATTTTTTTTTTCTTATTAGCATTTCTCGTCAAATCAATATATTAGTGGTTACAAAGTAGTGTTTTGCTGTCACAGATATAGCATCCTACATTATATATGAGCATTTTTATATGAATACTTGTTTGTTTGGTAGAATTTTATTTTATCATTTCACTGAATTTGCCATATTAACAGTAAGTTTGTATATAAGCTGGTTTTTCAAAAATGTATGTTTTCAATCTATTGCGTATTTGTAATGAATTATGAATGTTTTAACGAACTCTGTAATGAATTTGCAGCCAGCTAAAGAATTACCTTATTACTGTACTTTATTACTTATAACTGAAATCCGATAAAGAATTACCGGATTTCATTTATAATTCAATTTCAATAAAATATGCAGTTACAGTGTTTTGCCTTCTTATGGCTGTATAAATAACTGGGACTAAAATAACACACTAAGTAAATGAAGCTGTCTTACAAACCTTGAGAGTAAGGTGATAGAGTCATGCACTGACGAAGGAAAATAAATTTATATAACACTGTCTTCTTTTGAAGTGGGAAACAAATCGGCCCCTGTTGCTTCTTTACTCAAATGAGAAAAAAACCCAGCTTCCATTATATACATTCACTGAGACACATTTTCTCTGTTGCCGAGTCTCACTGACGCTCTCATGGTCTTACTCTGACTGTCTGACTCTTTCACACTCTGTCTCCCACTCTGACTCTTTCGCACTCTGTCTCCCACTCTGACTCTTTCGCACTCTCAGTCTCCCACTCTGACTCTTTCGCACTCTCAGTCTCCCACTCTGACTCTTTCGCACTCTCAGTCTCCCACTCTGACTCTTTCGCACTCTCAGTCTCCCACTCTGACTCTCTGATGCTTTTGCACTCTACGGCTCAATACATGTTGGAAGCAATTCATATCTGCATATATCACTATGCGCAGAGGGCTCGAGCATGTGTACAGGAACCTTGCGTTCATTCCCAATAACAAGTGAAACAGCACCCCCAGTCACACATGATGACAGTCACAAAACATGGTATAGCACCTTAAACGCAAGGTAGGATATATCAATGGATGTTTCTACAAGCACGAGAAAGGGGGCATGATTTCATTGTATCCAATGGTAGGATGTTTCCATAAGTAAGATGAAATACTAGAACACCGGCATTGTCACCCTGCCTTCAAGTCATGTCAGAAAAATCGTAAATACTACACAAGAGCACATGAACTCCACTACAAAGTCGCATTTACCAGTCGGAAACTTGGGGTATTGCGGTGTGTCATTACAACAATCATGGCGGAGGCAATGGATAGCTCTACTGTAAAAGGCAAATTATTTTGCAAGTAGGACAGTTTATGTAGCGTGTCATTGCAAAACCCTGAATTGTTTTGAATGGTAATGAGATTGTTATTAAATGATGTACGGTCAAAAAAATTGATAGCTTTAATCTGATCGGATAAGAGGCATTCTGATTGCTCACATCAGCTTATCACTCCTCTTCCACCAACATGGAGCCGGTACTGGACTGGTTCTCGCTCGGTGCATTTTCCAACAGTTTCAAAAATGAATGTAGCCAGAAGTGAGAGTAAAGTATAGATTCATATGTATTCCGTTTTGTTGGATTCATTTGGATTTAAAGTTTTTATAAGCTGCCCTACCAAAAAAAAAAAAAAAAGGTTTTCAGAATATGATTCCTTAAGCTCTCTGTCTCTACCGCCTGTATCCACTTTTGTCTCCTTAAAGCAGTGGTTCTCAACCCTGTTCCTGGCGCCCCACCTGCCAGAATGTTTTCGTTACAGCCCTACCTTAATCAGGCTCAGATGGCTAAACCCGGTTTCAGACCGAAAGCGGCGTGCATTACGCTGCGCTCCGTGCCGCGCGCCGTTTGGGAAGCTTGTGCGAATACTGTGGTCAAAGATGAACTTTGACCGCTGCACCCTATGACGCATTGTCGCGCGATCAATAAAAACAAGGCACCGAACGAACCGGGCACAGAAATCGAAATGGAGGGAAAACTTATATTGTCCGTGTCTGAGTTCCCAGAGCTATATCACACAAGCGTACTACCTTTTTGCATCGTCGCTACTGACCGCGAGCCGAAATGACAGGAGAGTTTTGAAAACCACGCCTACTCTTTGCGCGGAAGCCCCGCGCGAGCACAGCGCATTGACGGTTTTTGTTTGCGGAGGCCCGAAAATGTTTAAATAAACAAAATATGCTGTATCTTATTACTGTTACCTTATAAATGCTACTTTGTTTAAGAGCAAAAATATACTCAAAGTCGTGCGGTTGTACACCTACTGCAATAAATCACGGCTGATTGTCTACAACCGCACTCCTCGTATATGTTATTGCTTAAGTAAATTAATCTACAAATATAATAATTTATTTTGTTTTACCCATATTAATCTATTAACCTATGTTGTAAACTGGAGTAGCTGATATTAGTTAGCAACACAAACATAAATGCGTTTGCACTGTTCAAGTTCAATAAACGCTACGAATGGGTTTTGGTGTTGGAGGAACGAGAAATGAACCTGTATGAATACACACCTAATGCTAAACCCATAAACAAAAAGTTTTAAACCCATAAATACATGAAATAATAGAAAAAAAAATAACCGCACTTTCCCTGTACTGTGGAGAGCTATTGGCATACAAATACTTCCTTTTTAAGATCTGTCGTGGTTCTCGCAAGTTTCTTTTGGTTTACTGCTATCGCTAACCTTCTTTGGACCCACGGTGGCTTATTTTAAAACAAAATAAGAGAATATTCACAACACGATTCGACGACCATTTTCATTAAGCACTAGAAGCGGCCTGACTCACACTCACGAGTCTCTCCTTCGTTAATAAAACGCGCGCGGAGTCACATGGGTTATAGCGCGAAAGGGTCACCTGGTCGAGAATCGAGAATACGATCGACAACCCAGGCTTTTTTTTTTAACTGAACAATATGGTCGTGAACGGAATTGTACGAGCTGTGAAACGTTAGAGAACCGAGCTTCGACTAAGTTAACATTACTGAAGTACAACCCTGCTCGCGTATTCGGTGTCAGTAAATCAGAGTGAAAGCGAAAGCAAATCTCTCGGTGATCGGAAGCCATCACTATGCTTAGTGTCCCTCGGAAGAAATGGCGGCCAGGTCCTCTGTGCTGGAAGAGGAGCTCACCTGTCCTGTGTGCTACGAAATCTACAGGGATCCTGTGGTCCTGAAGTGCAGCCACAGCTTCTGTAAAGTCTGTTTACAGGAGTACTGGGAAGATAAGAGCTCTCCGGAATGTCCTGTTTGTAGGAAAAGGTCTCCTGTGGATCCTTCCTGCAACCTAGTCCTGAGGAACGCATGTGAGGCTTTCTTACAGGACAGAGCTCAGAGATCTGCAGCAGCTTCTGAAGCTCTCTGCCGTCTGCATAATGAGAAACTCAAGCTCTTCTGTTTGGACGATCAGACACCTGTGTGCGTCGTCTGTCAGACCTCAGCGAAACATGAACATCACAAACTGCGACCCGTACAGGAAGCCGCAGAAAAACAAAAGGTTTGAGCAACGTGTCTTTTTTCTTGTTTTGCAGTTATAAAATATTACAAAAACCATGAGACATTGTTCAGAAAAGATTTGTATGTACCCTGAGACAGATGCTATCTTAATTTTATTATTTTATGTTTAGAATTATTCAACCATCTACAAAGGAAACAATGCTCTTAATACTAAGTAGTTAATATGCTTTATATCTGTGAATATTTCAGATTATAGTAGAAAAACTAGTTAACGTTTTATTAATATTACAATGACTAGAATTTTGTCTCCGAGGAGTTAAATTGGATTGTCTCCTAGATTAGATTAGATTTTAGATTAGAAAATCCTTTATTAGTCCCACAAGTGGGAAATTTGCATCGTCACGGCAGAAAGTGAACAGTACAAGAGCAGCAATATTAAAAAACAATAGAATAAAAACTGTACCAACAGTACAGTATAAAACGTACACTAAATCTGGAAACATAAATATGGATGAGTAATTTAAAAATATAAATGTGTGTGTGTATGTATATGTAAAATTAGATTAATATATGTATGTATGTATAAATACAGTGTATGTATGTTTATTATGTACAGAGTGGATATATAAATATATGTACAACACTGAAGGAAGAAATATATATATGGACAGGCACGCAATGGAGTGACAGGCATTGACAAGAACTAATATTGCACATAAGAAACACTGCACATAGAGAGCACCATGGTGTATTGGATGTGTGTGTTTGTTAGTCAAAATGCGTGTGGTCAGCTGCAAGGACTTTGTTTTAGAGTCTGACAGCGGCTGGAAGGAAAGACCTTCTGAGTCTCTCCTTCCCACATCGTGGATGCAGAAGCCTGCCACTGAAGGAGCTGCTCAGTGCTGTCAGAGTCTCCTGCATGGGGTGGTAGATGTTATCCAACAGGGATGACAGTTTAGCCACCATTCACCTGTCACTCACAACCTCCACTGGGTCCAGAGGGCATCCTAGAACAGAGCTGGGCATCCTAGAACAGAGCTGGGCATCCTAGAACAGAGCTGGGCATCCTAGAACAGAGCTGGGCATCCTAGAACAGAGCTGGCCCTCCAGATCAGCCTGTTCAGTCTTTTTCTGTCCCCAGCAGAGATGCTGGGGACTGTTATTTATGCAATTATTGGTATTATGCATGATTCTTGGTGTTCCTGCATACTGGCATTTAGCAGAAATATATTCCTGTTATAATTATATTAATCCTTTGGTAATAACTGAGCCTGTTGATAATTCCTGTGTAATACCTCACATTAGTATCAGTTGGTTAAAGCTCAACTTTGCTGTCTCATTCATCCAGGAGGATCTGAAGTCTGCACTGAAACCTCTGCAGGAGAAGCTGGAAGCTTTGAATAAAGTACAACAAACCTGGAACAAAACAGCAGAACACATCAAGGTACAGAACTACCTACATTATAGAGTGTAAGAACAGCAGCGACATCACTGGACAGGCTGCTCTGTAACAGCAATGAGGAAACTCACTTTCATTTCAGACTCAAGCTTGGTACACAGAGAGACTGATAAAGGGGGAGTTTGAGAAACTTCACCAGTTCCTAAAGGATGAAGAGGCAGCCAGGATTTCTGCACTGAGGGAGGAAGAGGAGCAGAAGAGCAAAATGATGAGGAAAAAGATTGAGAAGATCACAAACAAGATATCATCCCTCTCAGAAACCATCAGAGCCTTAGAACAGGAGCTGGGAGCTGAAGACGTCTCATTCCTACTGGTGAGGATAGATCACAACTGGATTCAGTTGTTAAAATATACAGTTAAAATATAAATGGCCCCAAAATGTAAATGATAGTATTTATGACATGATTTTTCTTTGTTTTGTTTCAGAAATATAAGGAAACATTGAGAAAGTAAGGAAATTTCCCTTTTTAACTTTTACTGGTTTGGAGTCAGTGAATTGCAGTATAATGGGAGTCAGTGTGACATCCCCACGGATTCACCTGTACATCATGTGATCATGTGGACCAATCAGGGAGCTCAGATTGCTTGGGCTAGGTGTGCATATGTGGCGTGGGCTAGGTGTGCATATGTGGCCTGGGCTAGGTGTGCGTATGTGGCGTGGGCTAGGTGTGCGTATGTGGCCTGGGCTAGCTAGATAATGGTAAACAGAGAACACAGTAGAAATAAAAAATATTTTTTTTTATTGTTAAAATGCACCACATCTATAACTAAAAATACAAATATTAACTTTTAAAAGCACTTTCTCATGTTCAAATAGCTGTACATGTACATGTTTTCGATAGGAGTTGGGGTTGGATGCCTAGGCTAACTTCGTTGAACTTGCGAACTTTAGGACTTCTGAACCTGCTCTCGGAATGGAACTTGTTCGTATTTTGGGAACCTGCTGTACATTGCTAGTATCTGTTAGCTTCTCTGGTCATGAACTTACAGGAGCAACATCACTGAATGCTGAACATTGTTACAGAGCCCAGTGCCCAGTGCGGGATCCAGAGGAGATCTCAGGAGCCCTGATTAATGTGGCCAAACACCTGGGCAACCTGAGCTACAGAGTGTGGGAGAAGATGCTGGAGAAGAAAAAGATTAAATACAGTGAGTAGAAGACGTCAGAATGGAGCAGTTCCATAATCTCTCTGTGCGGAATGGGGGGGTGGAGGTTAACTGTACTCTAATGTTTCTCTCTGATTCCCTTCAGCTCCTGTGATTCTGGACCCAAACACAGCAGATGTCCGTCTGACACTGTCTGAAGATCTGACCACTATTACCTGGAGTAATGAGATGCAAGGTTATCCTAATAACTCAGAGAGGTTTACATTGGGCGGTGTGCTGGGATCTGAGGGATTCAGCTCAGGGAAACACTGCTGGGATGTAGATGTGGGGGATGGAGTTACCTGGAGGCTGGGTGTGGTTAGGGAGTCCATCAACAGGAAAAGGGTTTACCCTCTGATGCCACAAGGGGGCGCATGGTGTATAGAGCTGCGTAATAGTAAATACACAGCAATGACCTCACCACCAGTCCCTCTGTCTATGAGAAGGAAACCCCAGAGGATCAGAGTGCAGCTGGACTGGGACAGGGGAGAGCTGTCATTCTCTGATCCCAGTAACAACACTCCTCTCTACACTTTCAAGTACACTTTCACTGAGAGGATGTTTCCATTCTTTGGTACCCAGGATTACAGGGATCCTCTCAAAATGTGCCCAGTAAATGTTTCTATTTCCATCTGAGCACTAAAATTCTACTAACAATTATAGTCTGTTACATTAAAAATCTGATTTTTTTTTTTTTTACAAAAAGTAGATTCATATTTTTTATAATTCATGTTTTAGTGTAAATTAACGGCTTTTTCAGAGTGGAGCTAGACTGGGGGCTGTCATATATATATGCAGGGTAATTTCCCTGGGCCTCTGTGGGAGGACAATTCCAGTAGGGCAGGGGAGGTGCATAGTGGGATTGTTGTTAACGTCTTGGGCAAGAAGAATGTGTGTGTGTATGTGTGAGCCTGAACCGGGAGCTGAAACTGCCTGTTTGTGAAGATAATTGGACCCCCCCCCCCTCTGCTCGAAGAATGGGACGTACTACGTAGGCTGCTCAATGCTGCAGAGGAAGATAAAGGGGGAGCAGTCAGAAATATCGAAAGGAGACAAACAGGCTGATCTTCTTAAGCATTTGCTATATTCTATTTCAAGCACCATATGGCCTAATGAATGTGTTGTAATTAAATAGATTAATTGACCAAATATATGGTGAGATGTGGGTAGTTTGATTTGCTTGATTGCATAGTATTTAACATGGGGACATGTAAGGGGTTAGCAAGGGTGGGGAGGCACTGGTGGTGACTGGTGATGGGCCTGAAGGAAATGCAGAGCTGCGGATGGTCATCACCTCTGAGGTCATCACCTCTGAGGTCATCACGCACTCCGCATGCAGACCAGAGTGCCTGTCTTGACCAATGGAGTATTAGATTACCTTTTTTTGGAATTGCAGAAATGTATGAAATCGGAGCATTTTCCTTGGGCGGGGGTTCGCTTCGTTGGAACGGGGATACTCTGTTTCTTTGCTGTTAACTCCAAAGGGCCCTGCCTTAATAAAAGAAATTTTATCTTACTCAAGTCGTGTCAGGTAAAATTGTTTCATGCCTGGTGCCGATCAGACGTTAGAGAAAGGAGTAGTAGTCAATACTAAAGCATATAGGACATTCTCATATCTTAAAACAGTAACACAACTTTTCTGTTGGCTGTTGGGCCATTGCTCCTCCCTGTATGAATGACATGCAGACATATTGGTGCATGCAGGTGGTTTATAGAACAAATAAAAATAAACTGGTGATACTACAATCTGGGGAGGCAGGTTTGTGCACCCAGTCATCGAAAATCATATTTACGGTTAGATGATTCAATTTGTTAATTTTGTGTTTTATTTTTAGCTTCTCCCCAATAATGCAATATTTTGAAGGATTCCTGCAGTGTTACATTTATAAAGAACACTGTCTCTCGTGGCAGCCGAGCAGTTGCTGCATGGAGGGAATAATACATTCTTGAGCCATCAGTGTCAACCAATCACATGCTCCAGCACCTATTAATGTCACTCTTAAGAAGCTCTCCCTTAAGCAGTCTCATAAGAGATTGTTTTGGAAACATACGTAGGAAAACAAATACCTTTTGTAAGATATATCTTTACAGTCTGTAAGACGCCTAGA